CTGTATATTTCAATCAACTATCTATATATGTATTAATATAGATAACGTCAATTTACAGAGAGGGGTCGAAACTTATGGACCACCCTTTATTTTGTGCCATAATTAAAACGAACAGGTGTTGCTTTTTTCTTACTTAATCTTTATCAATAGTTGTTGAGTCATAACTATGATCGTATGTGAAACTTGATGATTCATTGCACAATTTGTTTACTCGTAACTTGAACTTCATCTTCAATTTCAACTTCATACTCATCTGCATTTCCATATCCAACTTCATGTTCACTATACTGTATGTTCAACTTGGTTTCCAACTTCAATTTTATCTTCAACTTCATTTTCACTTGCTATATCTTGAGGTTCAAGGATCATTAATAATAGAGTTAAAATCAATGGTAATATATAAACTTCATTTTCACTTAAAGGCACAGGACAATCAGCTGAAAATTTATGATTATTCCACATCACATCTAATTTTAATTGTGTACTTCTCCACATCAAGGACACTCTCACGTGTCTGATCATATATATATATATATACAAGGTGGCTGAGATAAGCCGCACACATTTTCTATGTTCTGTGGCAGTAGCAACAATGCAATTCACATTGCTGATAGCGATCGTGAGTATAAAAATTGGATGCAGACTATGTCAACTATATGAAAGGAAAGAGAAAAAAACTAATGGCTCATCTGTTTTAGTCAATAACAATAGCAGAACACAAGGTGGCGTACACTCCTATATGGCTAAAGTAAGAGATCAAAATAGTAATGATTCTGAAAAACGGCAGTCCGATCACATAATTGATAGGCTTATGGTTAGTATGATACAATTTTTAAAAAAATACCATTTCTCTCTGATCAGTCTGATACTTGTAATGTTTTATTCTCCGCTTCATCCTCTTGGTGACCATAGTCTTCGAGAAACAAGTGAATTAACATCGACTACTCATAAATGTATTGATTTATGTCAACAAATTGGTTATTACACGTTTATCCAGCAGAATTATGCCCCAAAACACACAATAACTAGTATTTAGGCACACGTTCGGCGGCAGCCGACAAACGGGAGTGGCTTTGTCAGACGTGTATGTCTTTTCGTTCTTTATGTGATGAGGCTTTTCTTCACAGAATCAGTTTCAATTACAAAAAAGATTGGATTTAATGGTATATTGGTCTCAGGATATAGACTTCGATTAAATTCATTCGTTTGTATTGTCAAATTTCAAGTGATAGCTGAATTGTCGATTTGAAGAACTTTATGTGTGATTTGTGTGTGAAATATGTTACTCGATATAAGGCAGTTACTGATGGTTCAGGGTATGTGATGGAAATCAACGAACGTGTATGGACAAAGCATTAATTCAATTGAAGTCACTAGATAAATACTCAGGAGATTTTGGAAGGTACTGATCAGGATACTCGAGAGTGATTTGCTACACTTGTAGGTCGACGGGGGGGCGGCTTCTCTGTTACCACTGGTTCATTAATATATTTTATCTGGTACGATAAACTACAGTGATCAATGAGGGTGTGAGTGTGGGGTGTGGGTGTGGGTGTGGGTGTGGATGTGGGTGCGGCTGTGGTTCAGAGCAAGGCTAAGATCCACAGCCACACCCACGAAGCATCTCGCCTAAAAGTTTCAATGAATCCTAATAATTATTTTTGTCTTTATTACTTAATTTCCTCCTCAAACGGTAAAATCTCCAATTAACGAAAACAATTGTCACAACCATCCAAGCATGGTCGGTAATACTATACATGTCTTTTAGATGCTAAATTCAATTGGTTATTGAACAGTATCATTTCTATTCATCAGACACACTTCTGAGAAGAAGCTTTATCATCTCAATGGAGTCCTATTACAAGCTTAGACTATTTCTAGGTGAAACATCAGTATTCAAGAGAAATCGTTGAAACATCTTCAATTAAGTCCAAACATATGTGTTGGATACAGAATTTCAGTATCTATCGAATGGTATCTATTTCATATACCTTATCTAATGAAGTACCACCAGAAAATAGGAAATAGTAATTACTAATTGAAAATCAGCAAACAAATTTTACTTAGCTCATTGAACGGTGGATATAAGTTGAGTGTGTGACTAAGAAAGGATGATGTGGACGGGTGTGAGGGACACAGCAGCTAGCTTATATAGTCTGTTACGTACTTTGAAAACCACAACTTAAATGTATTACAACAAGTTATTTTCATATGCTACTTCTATGAGTTTGAATGAAAAAATCCATTTCTAAACGCATTTATCGTTTCGCTTAGAACATGGTTTTAAACAAAAAAATTGAAATTTTTTCCACTTGGTTGAAAATATAACCAATACTTTTTCCCTGATAAGGTATAAGTGAGAGTAAACTTTTGTCGCACAAGAACTTATGAACTTGATTCTTGTGTTAAGAAAAACGGAGTTTAATGTCGTGACATTGCATTTTTTTTTGTTTATTTTAACACTATGTGCATTAAAATCAAAATTCATCCTAAACTCTGTACTTATTTCAGAGACAAAGTTGTAGGAATTCTCCTGAAGACCATAAGCGAGTAAATGAATATACTGGAAGTTCTATCTACTTTGATGCATCGTGTTGAAACTTTTGTCAAAAGCGTTTCTCACTCTGGGAACGCATTCCTGAAATTTCAGACACCAACAGTTCATCCTAATTGGAAAAATATATTATCATGAGAGCTTCTTATCAGTAACCAAGGAGTCGAAAATGGGACTTATTTTGCAGATGTACTCTGGATACAAGAGAATGATATCCATTAACAAGCATCATTGCAAAGTTTACTTCACTGTTTCATCTTTTGTTTTTCGTTTTTGATGGATAGAAATAATGTTTTCGATTCATTTCTCTAACAATATTGTCTTCATTTCACGGAACTAAATCAAAAGATCCATAATCAATCATAGAATAATTACCGAGGTATACTAGTTTTCGAATAGAATACATAAAAATTTTCACTTTAATCAACTATTGATAATTATTACCATCATGCCTAGTTACAAAAAAAGGAAAACTCTAGTTTATATCACTCAGAATAATCATAAATTTGTTAAAAAGGAAATAAATCAAATCGATAGTTAATATTTATTTTTATTTCATCTTCATTCTGTAATGACAGCTCTTGAAGATTGATGCTGCTCTCTAGAATACGC